ATGCGAGACATAGGCAAGGTACTAAACATTCCCGTGCGGGACGAGAACAGGGAAAGGAAGAAGGGCACTTTTGTGCACTGTGAGAAAAGCGAGACCTACGTCTCCATCTCGTGGCAAGGAGGACGACTTTACGATTCCCTAAAACTTCTAAGTCCTTCTTGTATCAGAATGTTGTCGCCACGTTGTCGATGTCAAGAGTGTCAACATTCTCTTAATGTTGATAGCTAATGTTGCAATGACATTCGTAGAAGTGTCGCAGCAACATTCCAAGTGAAAACATTGAAGCAATGTTTTCTCAATGTTGTACAGCAACTTGCAACATAGGCAACATTTCGGAAACGTTTCCTCAACATGCTGTGTTACTTGGGCAGGGCCGGCCTTAGGCATGTGCCACATGTACCCCCGCACAGGGCGCAAATTCACCAGGGGCTCCAAAACGTGACTGAATATGTGAAGCAGTAATGGATGCCATCTTTAGTTTTACTTTAGAAAGTGGAAAGCCTTCCGTTTCGGCGTCATTTGTAACGTTAGGGATTGATCTTTCTCCCTTCGGGGGGAGAGGTTGGGAGTTTCTTTGCACAGGGCGTCGAAATAGCTAGGGCCTGCCTTGGTAGTAACTCTCTTGCCCCAGGGTAATCCTCTGGTATCACCATTCATGACGCACAATGCCGGTCTGAAGTAGGCATCCAATTTTGGTCCAATGCGCTTATGCTTATGCTTATGCTTACCGCGCTTATCCAGAGTGTGCCTAAGAAGTTCACAAGGTTTCAAATCGCCGTTGCGCATTATCATTTTTTTTCACATGCTAAGATAACCATCCTTGAAGCAGTGGCTCGGGGAGACCAAGCAGGGGCCGGCAAGGCGTGATAGCGTTTGTCGAAAGAGAGTGCTCATTTAGCATTGTGATGTGCTGTCGTCTGGCGTGGCCGGTAGTACTATTCTTTGAAATGGATGCCGACGAAATTCAAGGTTGTATGCTTGAGTAATTTGTTCCCCAAACGTTGCAAATCGGAAATACCCTGAGTATTCGTGCTTATACAATCTTACCCTCTTACTTGGCTACGAGACGGATGACGGATTTTGCGCCAAACGTAGGCATACTTTTATTGAATTATTTGGAGTGGCAGGTGAGCTTTCTCAGTTCCCGATCCGGTTCAATTAATTGTCCGTTGTCCTAAGAACTGTGCAAAAAGTGTTAGGATGAGTTAGAATTTTCGAATTTATCCTATGCGTCATAGAGGTGTTTTGAAACACATAATAGTTTTGAGCGTCTGCCGTGCAGTGAACGGCGCCGCCGCCCCTCCAGCGCATCGCAGCATCACTGGTCCTGTCCAGGCTGCTCGCCGACTACGAGCTACACTTCATTTTTGCTTCGGCTTTTGTTGAGGGAGGTTGTATTGCCAAAGCAAAGGAAAGGGAAAAAAATAAAATTGCAAAAATTTTGTGGAAGCAGAAAGTGTGAAACTGAAGGTAATAAAAAATAGTGTGCTGTTGTGATTGTCTTATAGACATATGGCAACTTATCAAGTTTTTTCTTACGTGTTGGTTGGTAACAGGACGACGTTTCAGTGGTATGTTTGAAAAAAAAAAACAGAATCAGGAAAACAGGTTTACTTATGAACATACGTGGAGTGTTTCCTTCTTGTTTTTTTTTTATTACAGTCACAGAGGTGTTCAGAAACACACGCCTGGTTCAACCAGTAGCGGGCATGCAAAAATCTGGGGGGGGGGAATTCAGGCGTTCCTTGGTAACATTTAGGTCATGTGAAACCTGAAACCGGTAAAATAAATCTTTAAAAAATTATCCCGTGACGCATAGGGTTACGATTCTTGTACGGAAATTCGAAGCGCTGGCTTGCCTTCAGATCCATTCCGAATATACTGTACTGCTGTACTCATGCACTCAACCTTTGCCTTCCTTCTAGCTACTTTGGACGCAGTCAATACAATCTTTCTCTAGAATACTATCTCATTTTACCAAGCGTGAATGACGTTCTGACTCCAATAGAAATGTCTGATTTCTACCAGGCCCCAAATAAATCCGTGTTTGATGTACGCCGAATGAATATCGGCAAATTTGAATCATTTGCATGATGGAGTTGTCCAAGTATTGCAGCAAGAGTTTAAGGTTCATAGAGAATTTCACATAGCAGATTCCAGTGGTATGATGGAAAGTTGTTCGCTGCTCCTTCTCTTGTCGTTGGAGTCATGATTTTGTTGCAAATGTTGTGGATCAAACTGAAAGGCTAATTAGACTCCTGTCCCATATCAAGGGAGAACGAAATGTCCCGTCTCCAGATGTCTCGCTCCTTTCCCTGAAGTGACTTATTCTCTGGATGGAGATGATATGATGGATGACTAGTGATGTGAATTTTGATGTAACAGTTGCGTTAACGCTTTACTGACATCGGTTGTGAGTTCCACAATTATGATGCCCATTATGAGGATGTTTTCTATCCTTATTGAGGAATCTATTTTTCATTATGCACCCTTGATGCAGCACGTTTTTAGCCCTATACTTGATCACCAAGTCACCACGCGTCCGGGACTTTCACTATTCTTCCGTGCGGCAATGTCTCATCCGAACTGTCTGGGGTTGTCTGGAGTTCCCCTGGAACACAGGGCTGTTACGGTAGCCAGAAAAAGACGGCATCGAAGGAAAGCTGGGCATGACCTATCTTTTGTTACAACTATAAGTAACACCCTTCTAGTTCACTGGTCACTCGGCGTCCGAGTTTGCCCGTGATGTGGACGTAAAAAAAAAGAAAAGAAAAACCACTTGGAGTCGCCTGAAGAGAGTGGAAGGTGAGACTGTTTGCGACTTAACTGCTGCTGCCAAGACCGGATTAAGATCCCGTTTGGAAAATCCGAACCTTGCTGTTTTTATTCGGTTGGAGCCGAGGGGCCTAAGTGCCGATGGGAGCTTATGAGGATCTGCGGGTTTAGGAGGATCTGCTTGAAGCCAGATTCTGATCCTTGTTGGTTCGAACCGGAAGGAACTTGCAATTAGAAATAGCAAGGACGAGATCGGAATGAGGGTGTGCGGACGGTTGGAGCCTGAACAGTCCCTTCCTATTTCGTTGCTTTAGCCGTGCGTGACTGTTACAATCACGAGGCAATGCGTGTAACAGAACTGCATCGAGGGTGAGCTTTGTTTCTGTTGTCCTTTTCTGTGAACTTCACATTAACATATTGCGTGCTGAAGCTGTCACATTCTCCAAGTTGTGCCTAGATAGATTTTAAAATACATTATCTAATTTTGTTTGACTCCATATTTTTGAAATTACTTCGTGTTGTATGTTGAATTGTAGATTAGAATAAACAGAATCTGTGCGAAACTCGGTCATTATAAGAATCCTTCCCTACGGCTACAGATTCCGTATTGACCAATACGAACCCTCCGAGAGGAACACATTTATTTTCATTTTTTGACTCTCAAAACCTGGAAAAATGAGGTTGAGGATATCCAACCTTCTACATACGAGGAATCAGCTCTATGAATTTGAAGGCTCCGCTCCCCGTGGTCGTGGAGCGTGTCAGAACATCAACGCGACAAAACATTAAAAACGACAAATTTTAAGAAAAATCCTCTTGGCTTTCTTAAATGTTTGTCGTATACAATACTGTAATTCTGCAAAACTTTGACAAGGCTGTTCCTTATAATAGGAATAATATCCACGTCTAAGGGAAACCCCACGTTCAAGGAGGTAGGTCAAAAGTTACAATAAGATGAGAGTGTCGGATTCTTCAAAAGAAAACAACTTCACGAGAATGTTCTGAGGTAAAAGAAACCTAGAATTCTTTTTTTTTTCATTTCGGCGCCCATATCCGTTGGAGAAACGATTGAACAACACCCGTTGGACGCACACGTTCCGTTACCGATGGCACAAACGCCATTCGCTGGGCACAGCCGTGGCTTCACGAAATCGAGTGTGATTTCTCGAAGCTGTCAGATCTGAATAAAGAATACAGTTCGGTCAGTATTATAGGTTCTGTCTGGGAAACGATTTTCTGCAAAACGAGACCCCTCTGCTAAAACTCTGCCGGCTGAGTTGCCTATGAAACGGATCTGTCGGTGAATCGCCCGAAATGAAGTCACTGTCACTTTTACAATACTGTTTTCAGCTCTGGACCAGATTTCAGGAGCGAAAAGCACGCTCCATTTGGGAGCGTGGCGTTAGTAACCCTTGGTCATAATGGCACTTCGGCATGGTTTCATGTTAAGAAGTACAAAGCCTGTCGAAGTATTCGCGATATGAACTCTTTCCAGTTTCTTAAAAATGTCACGATGAAATTATTCTTCCTCTGGCCAGTCCCTTACGTCACAAACACCGCTTTTGAAGTCGCGCAGGTGTTAACCCCTAGGGATTGGTGTAACACCCCCTAATCAAGTATATGGGAATCCCTTAAAACCAACACCGAATTGGGATTGAGATCTCATTTAGAGTGAAATGTGGTGTTACATCAACACTGTAGTGCGAGTTCAAATTCGGTGTTGGTGTTCCGTATAACACGAAAACTACACATTTACATCGAATTTGAACTCACCCTATGTCCATGGTCTGCTACAGCTCTCCCGGGCTCTTCTTTGGCCGAGGTTACAAGTTCAGGCTCAGATTCATTCAGTACCGGAATAATGTTGATACGTATCGCAACTAAGCTTGTTAAAACCTAAATGCAGCTTGCCCTTACTCTAATTCTCTCGCTGCGCGATAAATCCATACAATAGATACTTAATTTAAGAGTGAATTTTGTAGAATATAGCAAATATACCAGGGGTAGCAGAGAGAAAAACCATGGAAACAAGTTTTCACACACCCACATGATGTAATTGTTTTGGTAGAGATATGGAACCTTGTTATCCTCGTGGGATTCTCTCGAGTGCTGAGAGAAAAGTTACATCGTTCAGTCGGAAATTCAAAACCTCACATTCGTTATGAAGCGAAAGGAATGATGGAAAATATTAGTGCGTTGAATGCTTTTTGCTTCCACGTACCCAGGAGTATGTGGAGGAACGAGGTGCACGAGAAACGGAGCCTCATGGAGCGTTGGCGACTGGGATTGAGCAAGGCCCACAAAGACTCCACATCCACCATGTCAAGCCTCGAGTCCCATCCTCAGCGTCTCCTCCAGGACTCCTCCCAAAAGTCTTTTCTTCTCGCTCGTTATATCACAATAAATACAGCGAATACAGATGGCGCCACTTATCGTGATTGCGGATCTGGGTATAAGCCTCTTAGTCAGATCTAGTTTTTGTGTTGGTCCAGCCCGCGTATGACTTTTTCCATGTAAGATTCGCAGTAATAGTGATCAGTCCGTTGGATACAGTGATCCTATTATTTTCCAGAAAGGGGGATTAGTGCCTTCTCCCATCAAATAGTCTTGTCAACATTGACTCGTGCCGAAAAAGACCCAAACCATCTCAACCTTTATGCCCGACAAAAGAAAAATAACCTTCATTGTTGGCTTGAGTTCTTCAAAGATGAAGAGGCGCACTTTGACAAAGAGAGGCAGCCGAAAAGCTTGGAATACCTCTATCATCCCATCACAGAACTTCCTGTCTGATATCTGGATGATTTTGGACCTGGCTCCAAGTGATCACATTAAGCGGTGGCGACTGTTTATGGATTTCTTTCCAAATTTTTAAAAATAACTTTTGGCTTTTTTGGATTGAGTTTGGAAACATTTTTATATAGACAAATTGTTTAATAGTTAAGTATGATGCAGCTCAAGCATATATAACCAAGTTGAATTTAAAAAAAATATGCGATAGTGATTCTGAATTCACCGTAAACTTCCATAAGTCTGCTGCGTAGAATAGCATGGAGAAAACCTAAGACGTAATGAGCAATCATTCTGGGGCAAATGCATACTCTTTTTATTATAATGCTTTGAGTTTGACAAACAATTTTGATTTCATTTGGCAGCAAAGGGCAAATGCGAAGGTCTCCGGCTCTACGTTTGAATAGCAAACCTTCCCAAGAGTCGCCCTTAGCAGCCTCAACGCCATCAGAGGCTGGCAAGAAACGACGCTTCTCCACCATGCTTCGAAAAGCATACGGAAGCACCCTGGACATCTCAGGTATCTTCTGGTCCGCCGAGTATATGACCATTTGAAGGAGGGAGCGGGAAGCTTTTCTCAGATGCTTTCAGGGAGGTAGCTGGGGAGAAAGCTGTCGAATGGAAATGGGGGTGATTTTTATCCATTCTCGACGTCCGCTCATGTAAGGTAAAGGGAGTGTGATCAATACGAAGTAAACCCCTTCCCTCTTACTTAACCTTTACATGACGACTGTACTATACCCCAAGTGTTGGCAAACTGACGGTCGTACAATATATAGTACGTCTCAATTTGCTTGACGTATCATTGCTGCAAGCCTTTCGTGGGTTCGAATTAAGCACATGAAAATTTTTGAATCATCACTTTAAGATGTTAATATGGTCGTAGTACGCATTTCGTTGCCGCGAGCGAGCGTGCGGGATTTAAAAGTTCAGCTGCGCATTCTGGATTTTCCTTGATTTTATTTTCCATTGTTGCATGGAATTATGAACTTCATGAATGTCCAGCCTCCCCAGCAACTATGGTTATTGGCAGAGTTTTACAAATCAAATGTTAAATATTAAAGGAGTTGTTATGCTACATAAACTGGAGGTAGGGATGTATTAATATTTTTCGCGTTGGTTTCTGTCAGAATGATAAATTAATTTTTTTGAAAGACTTTTCACAAGAAAAACATCATGAAGCTACTACCCACAGCTCAGCCTGAAATTTTTTAATGATTGGCATGAACAAAACGAATGATTGACAAGTTTCTAACAGTTGTAACATTAGGAACAATTAGCCCTACGTTCATGATGTAACATGAAAATGTCTTCCGAGTATTTTTCTTCATACATTTCACCATGCAGCAATGCAAACGGTTTTTAAATACGTTTCTACCATTAATCGGAAAACGTTGATTGCAGGATCCCAGGAGTCCGACAAGAAACAGGTCAAGGTGGTCTCAACTGAGTCACAGACCGGAGACGACCTCCTTCTATCGTATGTACCCAGTATACGCCGCCGCCTTCAGAAGACTCCATGTATCGAGTCCGAAACCGACTTGTTCTCTCATCCGAAAAAATCCCCGCCTCGTGATTGGTCTGAAACAGACCGAAATTCGTCTCAGGATTGGTCGACGGAGAAGCCGCTCCCCGATTCCTCGATCGCGGACCAATCAGAGGCGAGTAAGCGCTCCTCGTCTCACATCGTGGAGGAGACGGCCAGTGAACACAGCGAGGATGAACTGAGCAGCGGAAGTGAAATCCGGCACATCATCATCAACCTGGGAAAGAAGGACACGGGGTCTGAGGGGAGACCCAGTGCTGACAGTTCCGAGCTCAGTCTCATTGAACTCCAAGAATTTGTCAAGAATCAGGGACTAGAAATTGATGTCATTTCGAGTAAGGCAGGGAAAATCTAAGATCTCACTATTGACTTAACCCTTTCGGTGTCATCCCGAGTACGTACTCGGGATGCGCCTGCGTGTTTCCCTGCGAGATAACGATTCAGGTGGACGCTGAAAGGGTTGCGAGACGATTCCCTGTGATTGCAAGCATGGCTTGGCGGACCAGCTGGTACGAAAAAAGTAACGTGCACCGTAGGATGAGTCTGAGCTATTCAGAGGCGCGGAGAAACGCCCCCACTTCACTACACTAAACATGCCTTAGCAGTATTTCACAGACTTGGCTGCAGTTCGCATTTCGTGTCAGACTCATCACATAGAGATGCAATGCAAAAAAATTACAATAGAGAAATAAGCCCTCGACCAAGAAAAATAGTGCGCGCTTGTGAACTTTGATTTAACTTGGTACATACTCTTTTGTCAATTTTATTAATAACTTAATTAAAGAGGCATATGCAGACATGTTTTGATGAGAAGCTACGAATGTAGCTTAATACGTCCACGGTTGATTGTAGGAATCAGTCAGAGAAAAAAAAGAAATTACATCAGAACTCCTGCACTGAAACCACTTCGTGCATACAATACTCTAATACCTGCCGGTTCGCCAACACATGCTTTGGGCAAAAACACGATTATCATTTTTTTAACCTCATGAACTCACTTTTAAATTTAGTACAAAATCCCCACATTAATTGTTTCAGTACAAATGTTACATTGATTTCGTGAAAATGCCATTCCAGCCGACCAAATCAAATTAGTACTATTGGTTCTCTGGTATCTTCATCAAATTTTGCCCTCTTTCCTGCGAGATCTAATCCATAGCCTTCTGTATAAACCCTGGTGGCGGCAAGATGCATCATTGCACAGAAATACATGTGTTTTGCACACTGTTCCTGGTGTTTTTTTTTTGCTTGGAAGGGAAGAAAAACGCTTGAATCAGGAGCATCATCACAACTATTATTCTCAACTTCGACTCAAGAGTGTGGACATATCATGTAGTCATTTCTTGCTAAGAGATTTCTGAGATTAACAAATGGTTAAGTGACCAAATAAGATTGACCAAACATTACTGACAAAATAAGACACATGTATGAGAAGATTCATGGCTACTCTTTTGATGAGACTCAATCACAAGGTGAACATTTGGTGAATCATATGAGATGGGATTAAAGCTAAAGGAAAAAACCAACGAGACCCAAGGCAATTGAAAGATGATACAAAGACATAGCTCCTGGGTATGAAAACCACAGAAAATGAAGGGGTCTATGAGAATTTAATGGTAAACGCAACAGAGGTGCCTGCATGCATAGGGGGGAAACTTGATTGTACATAATGCAGAAATAATGATACAGATTTTTTGCTTGTAAAGGGAGATAGAAGCAAGATAAAGACCTTATGACCTAGGAGGACTTGACCTCTGAACCGCCGGAATGACCTTAAACTAAATAACTTAGTTATAGTATTTTGATGTCCAATGACATCAGAAACTGAAGCTGGGACTTCCACTATGAGTAAGGCCACTTTTGCATCCAGGAAAGTCCCAAGCTTCAGTGTCCTTAAAATTATGACCCTATTGTGATATGTACTCCTAGTCAACTTCTTTTTGGCAAAAAAAAAAAAAAAACAAAGAGAGAAAAAATCACAAGGAAGTTGCTCCTTGAGCCGTTAATATTTAATAGCATCACAATCTTTTGGGGAAAAATTGTTTATCACTTACAGCACATATGGAATTGATGGAGCAACAACCTTGACATGAGAAAAAATGTACCGGTAACATTCCTGTCAAAATGTTTGTAACACAGCCATGCAAAAACATTACCACAGTCCTTTGCAAAACTTGGAAAAAAAAATCTTCACTCGAAACTTTGGACAAATAATAAGAGAAAATGGATCACATACTAAGCTTTCTTTGAAAGCATTGAGGGGTTTACTTTAATCACAGACAACTTTGCTTGTTTACTGATTGAGGGAACAGCCCTGGGGAAACCTCAAGAAGCCAATACCATTGAATGATATTTATCACGTGTGACTGACAGCACGAGCTCTATCTAAAAATGAGTGACAAGGAAAAAACCCCAGACTGTGGGTGACTTGTTTTTAAAAAGGAAAATCTTTGTACTGAATGAAAACTCATGAATGAAAAAAAAAAAATGCTGCTTACAGATCACAACACAAAGGGGGAGTGGGGCTAAGTGGGCATTGCACCGCACCATCAAGGAAATTCCCAGCAATTTCTGAGACAGAAGAAACAAATTTTTAAAGCTAAAAAAACCCAACCCTCCCACCCCACTTAGTCACTACCCTGAGACAGCGTCGCGCAACACTCCTAGCTTATCATCCCACCCAACATAACCTAGATCTTAGCCTCATGCTGCAGAGCAGATAAATAACCTAAAAACTTATCAATAAGGTTATCCTATGCAGCCGCAAAGCATCAAACGCCGTAAGCGGTTGCAAGCCTCTCCCGCAAGGGGGCTGGAAACTGCTCTGCAAACCTTGACCAGTTTTCATCTCCTACAAAATCCTTGAAGCTATGTAAGATCTGATGGAACATCTGTTGAAGGTCATCCCGTGGGTTGACCCAGGATGCAATGGCATCACAAAAGAAGATAAACTCCTGTGCAATGCCATCTGGCTTCAGTCGGATCATCTGGCAGACCCCTCGGAATGCTGAGTCCTTTTCTTCATTGTCGCGGATGTTTCTCAGAGACATGCACCAGGGCCTAATGAACTGGCCAAGGTATGGGGCCACATCATCCGGGCAGACGTAGCCCAAGCGACCAATAGTGATGGCAGTGTTCTCAAGTAATGTTTTGGGGGTGTTTGGTCGATTAATGATCATGATCAGCTGATTGAGGATCATTGGGATGTAGGAGTTCATCTCACTGCCCAGTTTCACTGCTATTTCGCCAATTGCCCATGTGGCATTGTTGCAGACTGAGATAAACTCAGGGTTCAGGTTCTGTCCAAGAATGGGGAGGAAGTCTGAGATGTGAGGCTCAATGTGTTTGAAGCAAGCCTTGGTCAAATCCCCAAGAAGAGCAAAAGAGGACTGCCGGACTTCAGGGATGGGGTCCTGCATGCACTGAAACAAAAGCTTAAGGAGACTGGAGTTTGTAACCAGCTGTTCAATGTCCCCATTGAGTCCCTCGGCCAACCCTGAAAGCAGATCCAAAGCCACAATCATGAAGTCTTTATCTGGAGCTTCACATTGGTCTGGATATTGCATGCTCCATGCACTCTGTGCCAAAGAGTTCTCAATAAGGTGGACACATCGCTGATAAACTGCCTCTGAATGAGGAAGGAAGCCAGATTGTAGAGCAGTGGCCACACTGGATAAGCATTCAAGCAAGGGAAACAGATCCTTATCATCATCCTTCAACATGTACCATTTTTTCATCAATGGGGGCATAAGCATATTGATGTATTCAGGTCGATTCAGGTGATGGCCCACAGAATCTGCCAGAGTCCCAATGGCATCATATAAAATTAGCAAGTTCTTATGCTGATATTTGTCAAATGCTCGGACTAAAGTCTGCAAAATGTAGTCAAGATATGGAACCAATTCAGTACAGGCTTCCTCCTCCAATGTTGCAAAGGCACTGCATGCTGCCTCCTGCACCCGCTTGTTTGAATCCAAGATGCGTTTCAGCAGCTGATCCATCAATGGCTTAAGGTAGGCATCATGTGGCTGCATTACAACCCAATGAGAGTAGCGACTGAGAGTCCAGCAAGTGATGGAGCGAATTAGTGCCTTTTTATCCGAAAGACAGTTTATGAGGTATGGCACCAACTCTGGAAGGTGAGGGATCATTCCGTTCATGCAGCCCTCAGCAATCGCACCCAAAGCCAGGATTCCTGATTCTTTAATCTGCCATTCTTGATGCAGAAGGGTTTCTTTGAGAATTGGCAACAGCACTGGGAGAATGTCCTCACGAAACACATTTGCCAACATATCTAGTGCTGCTGCACTGCATTTCCGTAAATTCCAGTCTGACAGAAGTGAATCATCATCCAATTCCCCATCTGAGTCTGCTTCTCCATCTGTCATTATGACTGAATTAGCTTCCAGCTGATGCTGCTGAACATGCTTCTTCGAGCGATAGAAACGTGGCTTTATATCTTCCTCTCGATCTGGGACCATCTCATCTGCATCCTCTTCTATATCACCATGAAGGAGAATGATGTCACTTTCAGAGTATTTCATGCTCCGCACCAAAATTGGGACCAGTCTAGGGAGATGTGGGGCCAGAACATCCCGACAAATTGGTTGCTCTGCCAAAGATAACCAAAACTCACATGCCTCCAATGCCACACTTTCATCATTGTCTTCATTATCCTGAGTCCGCATCAGCATGTACTCGATTATATTGTGCATTTGTGGAATCAGTCGGTCCATACGAACTTCCAACAGCATCACTAGAGCACGACATACATTTTTTCGCACATCTCGATCATTATCTGTGGCCAAGGCTGACAGATTTGCCAGAAAGGTGTCAATATGCTCCATTAATGCTTCTGTGCGACCGATGATGAATTGATTGACGCAGGCAACAGCATGTGACCGGATTCGTGGACTGCTATGGTTGAAAAATGAAAGAAACTTGGGTATCAGAATTTTGAGTGGGCGATTCAAGACATCACTATCAAGGACCTCAGCTGAATCTTCACAGATTTTCTGCATTGCACCAAAGGCTCCCTCACAGATGAGATACTCTTCAGAATCAAGCAATTCACACAGTCGGGGCAATAGTTCTGGCCAAGTAGCAAGCTCACCCTTGGAAGCAATTGTGGTGATGAGAATACCAACAGTGGCACGAATTAGTGGTGAGGGGTCACCAATGGCATTGAGGCACTCGGACTTAATGAATGCAGTCACCTCTGATGGGAACTGGTTCAGACGTGCCTTAATATTGTTCTTTAGGATGAGTCCACTAAGAGAGCGGGTAGGTACATCCTCGCTGACCAACCGGGTGAGCACAAAGATGAGATAATTGTTGAAGTCAGGGTAGCGGTTTAGGTCCTCTAGTTTCTGCTGGATGGCCCGCTGGACGGCATTGTCTGATGACTGTGAGTCCTTCAGCAGCTGAATGATCTGCTTCAAGCCTTCTTCTTGCGGCTGCCATTGGAGTGTAGTACTGGGCGGTGCCCCCTGCATGTCCAATATAGGCATTGACCCACACCTGCAGGGTGCAATTTAGGCAACAGCCACCGAAATAATCTGGAAACCAAGGAGAACAGCCAAACCTAAGACAGAATCGCAACCAAACCAACCACACACATATCAAAACACAGCAAGAATGGGAACGCATCTGTCAACAGTATGGAACTGGAAAAATCATTGAGAGAAAGAAATGTAAAGTTAAAGTAAAGGGATGTATTGAGACAATCATTTCCAGCACAAGGATAGATGGTGATTAAATCAAAAGGAAGGTGGGCTACTTTAAAAGGAATCTGTAATGGGATTGGCACTTACCTAAATTGATAAAATAATCACTAACTGGGAAATAATGATTTGGCTTCCTCAATCAAGGATTGAATTCTTCAACATGAAACACTATGGAACTGAAAAGTGAAGGCCAGCAGTAAGAATAGGTAACCTGTTAATCCCACAGATCTGGAAGATGCTTGCACTTCTTCATGCAGCTCCAGGCATAAGAAACCTGACCTGGAGGAGAAAAAGAAATACCTCTTTCAAGAACATCTTCATAAAATGTTCCAAGGCTCAATGATTGCTTGAATTTGGTGAAGGTCTAATCTCTTCTCACCAAATAAGTTGTAAAGAGATCATTATATAATACAGGAATATTTAAATATATTGGCAGTTCATCCTGACCACAAATATAGGCCTAATCCAAGCACCCTCATCAATAAAAACAACTTCAGAGGAAAAGAAACTGAAGGCTGACATGAACATTACTCCATGGGTACCATTCTGTAACTCAGACTCATGGTGATGCACTGACAAATGTCAGATCATCATCACACACTGACACCCAATTCCCAAATCTTAACAGACCTAGAAAGCCACTTGGTCCTGATATTTTGCAGATAGATTAAGGAAATAATCTTTAAGGATAGATATGAATTTATCCATGAATGGCTTCACTCTTATTCCTACATGGATAACATGTGGCAAGTAGGCACATGCTGGGTATGTAGGATAACGTAGTCATGATGACATAAAGGCAAAAACCAAGAGGTTTCTGGAAGGCCACATTCTACTGGATGACATGCTTCAAGAAGGAACAGTAGGCCATATACAGAGCACACACATACACAGGCAATAAAAGTGCTCTGCTCTCTAGATTTTGCAAATCTCTGATGTTACTGGTAATGCTGACAGGTAGGCCAAGGCAAACTTCACATCAGGAGTTCAATCCTTCATCTGCCACCAATGTGATATGTTGAGCATATATTTAACTTCTTCATGACAGATAAGGTATGATAACATATACATTAACTATGCCACCCCTTTCATGGGTGGCACAGTTACTAAGAGCTTGTATAAATCCCAATATATTGATTGGTTTTTTTTCTGTGGAATAATGAGCATCATGACAACTGCAAAAAATGTAATGTAACTGGCACACCAGGATAGCATAGGATTTTATGTAGCTCTTCAGCAAGGAAAATGTTATGGTTCATATTACAGCTCGATATAGGCCAAATCATATAAAGATCTACTATTAATGGGATTAACCAAAAAATTCTAGAGGTCACCTTGTAACCATGCATTTAGGACATAGTGGCATAAACAAATTTTAGCAAGTTTTTAAATCCATCAATCATGTGAAACATGCCTTTTTGCTCAAATTGAAGCAGGCCTAACCAGCAAGCTGATCAAGGAAAAGACACTAGTGCATTTGGAAATATGCAGAAACAGAAATGAATGAGTAGCTCTCCTCCAAGGCAGTGAGAGAGAGAGAGAGAGAGAGAGAGGGAGAAAGAGAAGAGACATATTATTGGAAAAAATCCCAATAAAATACAATGGGCAGTTTCTTTTAATCTAGTACCAATATCCAGAGGGCAAGCTTCCTCTCCTTCCAAAATTGTCCATCAATAGTTTACATAACAGAGAGAGAAAGAAAATTATGCCAAAAAATTGAAGCAAGGAAGAAACAATTTCTTTCTTTCCAGGCTACTCTCAACACATTGACTGCTACCATACAGAAAGATGGGTATTTCATAATAATCTCCTCTTAAGGCAAATCTTCCCAAATCAGGAAGTCAGATATATAGGGTAAGCCAGAAGTAATTACACAATTTCAAATATCCTCTTCAGAATAAGGACATTTTTGTGTACACATGCTGGAGTGTACATGATTGATGAGAGTTTGTTTCTCTCATTTTGAAAAGTCACCAGAACTTCCAATCTAGTGACTTTTGAACAGGTGCTTCCATGTGGGTGCCAATTTAACCCTTCCATTCCTGGCAGGACTCAGGAGTTCAGCAACTTCAATCTATATATTCTACATGTGTGAAAATGCCTAATCTACAATCCTCATGGGATTTGTCAATCCCAATGTCTAGTAAGTTGCCATGCAACCCACAGATGGCAGGAGAGCATTTAGTGGATGTGAGTTACATTTTTTGCACGTGGATCTGCAAATGGCATCAAAGAGCCCCAGTTTATTTCTCATTAAGTTAGGAATGAAAGAGTTAAATGCTTTTACACCATCTATGAACTGCAGCTTCCACAGAATTCAACATTTCACATGAAATGGCACAATTATAACTCGATTTTGTATTCTAGCTAGGCCAGATAAATATGAATAATAGCCTACCTTCCAACAGATTGGCAGTTCTTTGAGTTACTGGAAATCCAAGCAATGATTTATGTAAATCACTTCTAGTTTCTACAAATTTGTCATGAATGCTCTAAATTGTGCAAGAAAGAAGTATAGAAATAATTGTCAAAATTCATGCTGCAAAGTTACTGGACTCTCAAATTCTCCATAAGGCAGGCAATCTTTCTTTATTCCCCAGTATATGTGGATATCCACAACTCCTAGACACCATTCTGAACTAAAATAGGAACAAGAAACTTCTGGGTTTGCTCTTCAATATAGCAGAATATTATGCTTTCAACTAGAAAAAAACCTGCAGGTAAAAGAACAAAGTATGTGCTTACTTATGGCTCATACTATACATACATTCATGTATATAAGTGGGTGATCCTGTGTTAGTCATGAAGTAAAAGGTTGTTGATGAGCACGAAATGACTAACTCAAAACAGGATGGAATAAAATGTTCATTCCCCGACGTTTCGACATTTTCAATGCCTTTCTCAAGGGGAAATAGGCTCATGAGGTACATTCTTGACCCTTAACAAAGAAATTGAAAGAAAATATAGTGGGTTAAGGAAGAGATGTCCTTGTTTAGCCCCAATGTGTGGGTTCTCCATTTGATGATTCTCTTGAGTTCTTCCAGCCTTCTTTGTTTAGTATCCATGAGGTCTCCAGCAAAGATATCGACCATCATGTCATCAATGGAGTGAGATGCTTGACTGAAATGTTCCACCACAGGTAGGTTGGAAATCCCCTGTCGAACACTACTCTTGTGGTTGTTGAAGCGGAGATGGAAAGGTGTTTCCGTCTCCCCAATGTTTCTTTTGTTGCATCGTTTGCAAGCTATGGAGTAGATGACATGAGAAGAGTCACAATTATACTTCCCTGAAGTGGATAGGAAGTGTCGGCACACCTTACATCTTGGTTTCTTGCATGGAGCTCCGCAGTTCCTTGGCGAGGTCGTTGATGGAGAAGGAAAAGCCGCTCTGACTAGAAGAGCTTTCAAATTCGGAGGCTGTCGATAGGTGATCAGAGGAGGGTGTGGAAATATCAACTTTTGATTCTGATCTTGCTGCAGGATATGGAAGTGGCGTGTTAAAATCTTGCCAACGAAAAGTAGAGAAGGGTGGAACATCAAAACGCATGGGATGCATTCCACATTATGGTCTTTATGTTGGAAGAGCTCTTCCCGAGAAAAGTTGTCAGCCTTCAAAAAAGCCCTCTGAATGACATGTAGGGGAAACCCTCAAGATTGAAGTGATCTAGATAAATTCCCCAAATGACTCAGGTATGTTCTCCTTTCCTTGCAGAGTTTCTTCAGCCTGAGTGCTTGGGCATATGGGATAGAGCTTTTCAGATGATGGGGATGGGAACTCAGATAGTGTAGAAGTGCCCCTGCATCAGTAGGTTTTTTGAAAAGGTCAGTCGAGAGCCTGCCATCACGAATTTCTATGAGAATGTCCAGAAAAGGTATATTTCTCTGGGAGCTTTGAAAACAGAACTTGATAGTTGGATGGAAGGAGTTTGCCAAGTCTATGAAATCAGTTAAGGCTGGAGTACCAGTTGTCCAAATCAGGAACAGGTCATCAATGTACCTCTTGTATGTGAAGGGCAGTGAAGGAATGCTTGTCAAGAGGCGCTGCTCCAAATTGTGCATGAAAATTATGGCAAAAGAGGGAGCCATACGGGTGCCCATGGTGGTGCCTTGAATTTGCAGGAAATGTTGCCCATTGAAGATAAAGTTGTTATGTGTGAGGATGAAACACGATATCCACAATACTGTCAACGTCCTCAGAGCAGAATCGATGTGTTTCCAGGAAGTGTCGCGTGGCAAGGAGGCCCTCTTCAGTTGGGATATTGGTGTACAATGATGTCACATCAGCAGTCACAAGGATAGCATCATGGGGCAATGTGGGTGTATCTTGTAGTAGTTGGAGCATGTGAGTTGTGTCTTTCACAAAGCTTGGAATTGCGGGTAGAAGTGGTTTTAGTGGTTCATCCATGAAACCAGAAAGATGTTCCGTCAAAGTCCCAATGCCAGACACAATTGGACGTCCTGGAACAGGCCTACCTTTCTTATGTATCTTTGGCAGGAGATAGAATCGGCCTGGTTGAGGATGATTAGGGAAAAGTTTTCGGAGGACGTGAAAGCGAGATGGAAAAGAATCGATCAAAGTAAGGAGTTCAGTCCTATAATCAGAAGGATCAGTTTGGAGGTAGTTGTAGCAGGCAGAATTGTTTAGTTGTCTCTGAGCTTCTTCCAAATATTCTTTCCTATCTAAGAGAACAACTGCTCCTCCCTTGTCAGCTGGTTTAATGACAATCTCCTTGTCATGCATGAGTCCATCAAGAGCCTTCTTTTCTATTGTAGAGAGATTGCCAG